GTCTGGGTTAATGTGGTCTGTATCAAATTCTTCTGCCTTTTCATGGCGATAGAGATAATCGTGGGTAGTTGGCATGTATCAGCTGGGAGAACGTCTCTTCTTCCTAGTTTGTGGCCTTCCTCTCCTGGGAGAATGGCGACCTCTAGCGGCTTGTGGTGGGCAGCTGCGAGCAGATGGGGTTTGTGATTCTTGTCTGGCCAATGTGAAGGATACTCTGCGTGTGGTTGCTGTGGGTGTGGCTGCTCTCAGGCCGCTGCTCTGCTATGGTGGGGCCACACTGGAGTGGGAATGGGTGGGAGGCTGTTTATCCCCGTGAGGGGCCTCGGAGCTGCACTGCCCTGCTGCCCAGGGGGTTAGGGCTCCTGGAGTTACCTGGGATTCCCAGCTGCTGAGCTGAGTGTCCCGGGACGCCTCCGTCCAGCTGTGGGGTCCCTGTCCTTTTAAGACTTTCAAAAAGCACTTGCTTTTCTTTGTCCCAGGGGCGCCGGCTACGGGGACCTGCTCTCAGATTTTACTGTTCCGTTTCCCTAGTGTCCAGCCCCCCACACACTGTGTGTCTGTGCTCCGGTGCCGATGGCTGGGGCTGGCTATTTAGAAGTCCTGGGCTCCCTCTCCCTCCCTGCTCTGACTCCTGTCCTCCTGCTGGGAGCTGGGGGGGAGGGGCGCTCGGGTCCCGCCAGGCTGTGGCTTGTATCTTATCCCCTTTGTGAGGCGCTGGGTTCTCGCAGGTGTAGATGTAGCCTGGCTGTTGTCCTGTATCTTCTGGTCTCTCTTTTTGGAATAGTTGTATTTCTTGTATCTTCAAAAATATATGTTTTTGGGAGGAGATTTGCGCTGCTCTACTCACGTCGCCATCTTGGTTCCTCCTCCTTAGTCATCCCTCTTTTACCTGTCACCTCTGTCCAACTTACTTTCTCTGATCTAATAATTCTTCAACCCCATGGAATCAATAATTTACTGATCCTACTACTCTTTCACTATCTGTTATTCTTCATATATTACACTTACTTGGAAATACATCTGAAATTCTACACTTTGTCATAATTACTTCCTTGCATGCTACCTGTACATGATTGACAGTGCTGTCTTGATTCAGTCCACCTTTTGGTCTACTCTGCTTTGCACCCCATGCATTTGAACATGCTAGAGAAAAGTATCAGTTATGTTGACTAGCCCCATTCATGACCACTAACTGTATGTGGGAAGTACTGTCTGAAAGTCCTATTGCATGTCTCTAGTTACTCTCCCCAATTCAGATCCCATGGACCATAAAAACACAATTTAAAAAGTCTATGAACAACTTGATATCACCAGTTTGATAACCTAGATGAAATGGACCAAGCCTTGAAAGACACTGTCAAAACTCACTCAAGAAGAAATAGATAAGCTGAACAGACCTATACTATTAAACAAATTGAGTCAATACTTAATAACCTTCCCAAACAGAACGTACCAGGCCCAAGAAGATGACTCACTATTGAATCTACCAAGCATTTCAGGAAGAAATTACACCAGTTCTCTATACTCTCTTTCAAAGGGTTGATACAGAGGGAATACTTCTTACTTCCTAAATGCATTTTTATAAAAGAGTTCAGTATTACCCTAATACCAAAACCAGACAGACATTACAAGAAAAGAAAACTTCAGACCAATAACTCTTATGAATGTAAATGCAAAAACCCTGAACAAAATACTAGTAAGTCATGTCTCACAATATTTAAAAAGAATGATACACCCAGGACCAAGTGAGATTTATCTGATGTGTGCAAGACTGGTTCAACATTCAAAAGTGAATTAATGCAATCCATTACATCAGCAGGTGAAAAAGGAACTCACATTAGCATATCAATAGATGCAGAAAAGTCATTTGACAAAATCAAAAACTATTCATGGTAAAACTCTCAGGAAACTAGGAATACAGTGGGACTTCCTCAACTTGGTAAAAAAACACCTGCACAAATGCTATAGCTAACATGATTCTTGGCGAATACTAGATGCTTTCCCACTAAGATTAGTAATGAGGCAAGAATATCCTCTTTCATCACTGCTTTTCCACATTATAATGGAAGTTCTAGCTAATGCAGTAAGACAAGAAAAGGAAAAAGAAAGCTTTCCTGTATATCTGTGAAGAACAAGAGGAATTTAAAATTAAAATCAAAAGGAGTTGCTAGTTAGAGATGGCAGAGTAGGAGGGCAAGGCAGAAACCTCCTTCCACATACACATCAAGGAAGCAACTGTGTCAAATGCAACTAACCCTAGAAATGACCTGAAGAGTGTAGAGCAGACTGTGTATACCTGGTGAAGAAGAGAAGACCCCATGGAAAAGGGTAAAGGGCAGAGCTTCGATCAGCACCCAAGCCCTTTGCCACTCCCAGCCGACCAGCAGGAGGAAGAGCTAACAGAGCAGGGAGGGGAGAGGCACGCAGGAATCCTGCTTACGTGGCCGTGGAGATTTCTGGGCTCGCACGTCCACATTGCATTGGGCTTTGGAGATGAACAGGGCTGGACTCCAGGGAGAGTTAGAGCACTCTGGCAGTCTGAAACTCCAGGAGCTTGCGGAGGACAGGCGTCCTGCCTTGGTCCTGCTGAGACCCAGCACTGAGGCAGTAGTTGGAAGGATTTACCAGTGGTGGGACTTGCTCCAGAGGGACAGGAGCTGGAGGGAGCTCTATCTGGAGGAGAAAAGCAGGTGGATAATACTTCCCCGGCCTTCCCTCAACTGAGCTGGTTGGGTGCTTGCTGGAGCCAGCTCCAAATGCTCCATTTCTCTTGCTGGTGGCTCAGCCCCATGACACATTTCTCTGCACACCTGCCCATCCTCCCA